AGTGAACCCGGGACTGATGCATTGGAAAAATTTCATGTATGGTTTGATTTACATGAGTTTTCGTTAAGAGGTAGCTTTTTGCGTAGATTGGTATATACAATAATATAGCTTTTCTCTCCTGTAAATCAACCTGAGTTCGATCTGTTCGAAGAAATTTCGATTTGAGTTCTTTTTGCTTGATTTTTGGCTTCAAATATTGTTTTACATTTTATAAGTATTCAAAAATATTAACGTACTAATTTAGGAGTTATAAAAAAAATAACCAAATATCAAATAATAATTTTTATATAACCAATTTTAATACTCCATGCGGACAAAGCTGTGTAAGCAAATTTTGTGACATTTTAAAAGGAAATATTTCAGTTGTCCCTCCTTCTTTCCCTATCAAAGTGTGTTTCCCCTCTCAAATCCGTTTCGCGTCATCCCAACACACTTTCCGAAACTTTTCCGAAACGCTATCGCCAGAGTTTCCCACGCAAGTTTAGCTTACGTAAAGAATTCTTACTACAAAAATGTCAAACTGTGGCCTTTTAATTTTCAATAGATTATACTTTTATAATAAAATGCTTATATAAAATATATTTATAGTGCGGCTCATCATTTAAATAAAAAAAGAAATTAAATATTAAAAACTATGCTGTGCAAAACATAAATAAAAGTCTCAGAAACAAGAATTACTTTTTAAAAACTCCACTAAGCTATTAATATGATATTTGCAATCAATAAGTTTTCAAAAATTTTATTATAAAGCGTTTCGCCATTGCCAGAAATATTGATTAATAAGTCAATTACAAAGAAAAGCCTTTAAAAATTGCGCATTGTTTGTGGTGTGAGTTGTTCATATTTTTATTATTAATTAAAATTTCCTCCTAATAAATTCATAAATTCTTTTTCACAACTTTTCGAATAAAAATATTTGAAAAAATCAAGTATTTCTACAGAAGTGAATTAATCTTTGACGTAAGAGCTGTATTAAAAGAGTTTAGAACCAAATATTTCTTTATTCGTCTGCCTTCCGAAACACTTTATATACTCGGCATAAGGGGTTACATAGGTCTTGAAGGCCAAAAAAAGCTTATTTTCTCTAATTTCTTTAAAAGATACTAAATAAAGTATACAATTTATTTTGTTTACATATAAAAATGCAATATGGGAACAACATTTAATGAAAATTTGAATGAAAAATAGTATAAGTTAAGGCGTTGGCAGTGTCGTAGTAGTAAGTAGACCGTCCACAAGGAAGTGCTTTCGCGGTAGTCATGATAACTTTTTCAATTTTTATTTGAAATCGAAAATCCAAACTTTTTCTAAAAGTAAGTGAATTTTCCTTGTACCTGAACGAAGAAAAATTAAAAAAAATAAAAATTTAATTTTTATATAGTTTTTTACAAAAAACATCATTTTTCGCATGAAATTAGGCCACATATTGGCTTGTAAAATGAGTTGGAATGAGAGACAAAATAAATCCTTCGTTCAGGGACTACAAAAAGATGCTTAAAAGAAGTGTGGAAGGTTTGAACTCGCTCGCTTCAATAGTCGTTGAGAAATTTTGACTACCGATTTCGAAAAAGTTATTTTTAAGAAAAACGCGTTTAAAATTTCGCCATCGGTCAAGCCATGACAAACACGGCGAGTAATAAAACTCTCTAATTTATACATTTTCGTCTTGATCGACTTGAAACTTGTGGAAAATATTCTTGACACTTTGTAATTTATACAAAAAATTATCCAAAAAAATTAATGTTTTGAAGTTTCAAGACCTATATAACCCCTTAATTGATACGATTTCATTCTTTCCGTGTTGCCTGTTAAAGTCAATGTCTGTAAGTTGTTAGCTGTAAAAAATTCGTCCTCAAAAGTTTTGGGTATAGGAAAAGGTCACATGGAGCCATGTCCATCCACACAATAGGCTTGGGCATCGTTATAAAAAGTTTGTTACAAATTAATTCCATTTATTTTGAAAATTAATTCTTTTATTTATAAAAAATAAAAATATTTGAGTTGATAAAAAAAACACATCCAACCTTGGTGGCTTCAGACGTTTTTTCATATTTTGGCGTCATGTTGGCATACATAATAATAAACAAATTTTTGGTTAACACACTCATCAAAGGTAGCGAAATTTGAAAGTTTTCTTTATTCTTGTAAAATATCTCGAATATAAGCCCTGAAGTAGTTAAAGAGAAGTCACTTCAAAGAGCCAGTCAAAAATAAGGAACTTAAAAAAATGAAATTCTAAGCTGTCTTTTTTCTACTTTAACGCTGAACCTGCAGTGCTTGCTACAAGGCCAATATCAACCCATCCAATTGCTTTGCTCACAAGAAATTAAAAGCTCCACGGAGATAGCTTAGAATGAATTTTGAATCACTCCAATTGTTGCTGAAACATCGCCACAAAACCAAACAGGTTCTATACCGAAGAGCGCGCATTTCAAGTAGCAATCGCGTAAGAGCTACTCATCAAAAAAAATTGTTTTCATAAAAAAAAAACAAATAGAAGAGATCCAAAGGTGTTGTGTTACATCATGACAACGCCAGACCACAAAAACATATCTTTAATGAGCAGACAAAAATTGCCAGAACTTCGTTGGGAAGCTTTGATGCAACCACCTTATAGCTCCTCATAGACCGCACACTGCGCCAACTGACCACTATTTAGTGCGTTCTCAAAAGCACTCTGTTGATGGTGAAAAAAAAATATCCAAACCAAAGAGACGCCAGATGGAATTATGAGCCTAATCAAAAAATAGCCAAAAGTTATATAAAACAATCAAATCAATATGTACTTGATTAAAACTAATTTTAAATACAGAAAAAATTTGCTCAAAAATAGAAAAAAAAAACGGCAAACTAATAAAAACAATAATAATAATTATTATTAAAATAAAGTTAATAATAATAATAATAACAATATTAATTAAAGTAATATTAATAGTAATAATAATAATAATATATAAACAAATATTAATAATAATAATAATAATATGTGAAGAAATAATAATAATAAAAGTAATACCAATAATAATAATAAAACCAACAATATTAAAAATAATAATAACGAAAATCATAATAATATTAATAATAATAATAAAAACAAAAAATAATAATAATAATTAAATAAATATTAATAATAATAATAATAATAATAAATGTACAATAGTACTAATAATAATAATAAAAACAATAATAATAAAAATGATGTATGGTGATGATAATAATACAACAATAATAATAATATTAATAGTAATAATAATAAAAATAAAAACAACAACAAAAAAATTATATTAACAATAATAATAATAATAGAGATAATAGTAATAATGATAATATTATTAGTAATAATTAAAGAAATATTAATAATAATAAAAGTAATACCAATAATGATAATACAAACAACAATAATAAAAATGATATTAATAATAATAAAAATGATGTATGGTTATGATAATAATAATAACAATAATAATAATATCAATAATAATTAATGTAATATAAATATTAATACAACGAAAATAAAGGCAACAATAATAAAAATAATATTAACAATAATAATAATAATAGAGATAATAGTAATAATGATAATATTAATAATAATAAGAAAAATAATAATAACAATAATAATAATAAAAATAAATCTATTCATAATAATAAAAACAACAACAATAAAAGTAATACTAATAATAATTTTAATAATAATAATAATAAAAATGATGTTAATAATAATAAAGATAATAAGAATAATAATAAGAAAATTATTAATAATAATAATTATTATACTCAAAAGCCTCCAGGAAAAACAATTATTTTGTTTTTTTTTGCAGAAAAAATTGAATCAATAATTTCAAATAAATCTGGTGCTATCGTACGTACATTTATGTGTCTAAATAGCATGACATAATAATTTTCAACTTAACTTTATAAAAAAAAAGGAATTACGCACACGAATTTCATTATAACATTTATTTGTTTTAATAATCATTAATTAATTAATCACTAATTACCATTAGAAAAATATTTTCACTTTTTATGCGAAAAACAGCTCCATCAAAAAGCTCTCTGTCACTTGGTTAACTCCAAATCATGAAGAATATTAAAGATTATCAAACATGTTTTCACATATTTTTTATATAAATTGATTTTGAATTTTCAGCACACAATTTTTTCGTACATTCTTTTTTTTTCTTATAAAAATTTTGTTAAACTATTTATATAAAAATTAGAATGTTTATATATGAATTTAATATTTTTTTATTTAATTATTATATATATTTTTATCTTTATTTTTATTTTTATTATTTACTGTGCACATTTAGCAATTTTTTATAAATATTTTTTGTTATGCACATTTAGATTCTATATACCTTTTTGAATTATTTTTAATAAACACATTTTAACTTGTTTATTATTTTTATCAGAAATTCTTTCAAAACAGTGTCGTTATCACTGCGTACAAAAATCATTTCACACCTTCGTTAAATGTAAACAAAATTCGGCTTTATCTCGAAAACGTGCATTTTTCACTTGAAATCCACGCACAAAACGCTTTGTTTTTCACTCACTACACACGTAATCTGTCAGCAAGCGAGTGATCCTCGCTGTATAGCATACACGTATGTACAAGCGCTCTTTTTATTTTTCTTCTTGTTCTTCTTCTTACTATATTTTGCATTTAACGAAATTGTATTTCCAATTGTTCTAAGCAAACGCGGCACCACCGAACGAACTGTTTACGTTCAAAACTCGCCACAAACTACCGACACGATCGCGCAAAGAAAGCAAAGCTGCCACTGCCCAAAAGACGGGAGCAGTGGAAAAGCGAGCGAGAAAGCAATCGGGCAAAAAGATAAGACCGGCGCGAACCCTTTAAGAGGAGCGCACTGGCGGATGAACGAGCAAACAACAAGAATCAACAAACACAAGCAACAACAAGGAGCTGCTGAGCATGGTGAAGAAGCACAAGCAGAAAAAGCAGTTACTACCACTGGCTCAAACGTACTTACGTGTGTATGTGTGTGTGTTTGCGTACGTGCAGACGGCAGTTTGAGCCAACCAAGAACAATTTTTTTCTCACTGCGCTTTTTTGGATTTTATTATTCTGTTTTTTCTTAATTTTTTTAAATTTTTTTTTACTTTTTATTTTTTTGTTTGTTTTTTTTTCGTGGTTTCTTACGCTTTTATTTATTTACACTGCTTGACACAGATGATTTGCTTATTTTCTTCTTTTTTTGTTTGTTTGTGTTTTATTCGTTATCTACTTAAAGCACATATACACAGACACCCAATAATGCCGCAAAAAATTATATACATACATATGTACTACCGACGGCCACGCGAGCTACGCGCCTTCTACCGCACAAACCGTGTGTTCTATTGGGAAAAATTGCAAAATCACGACGGCGAAGCACTTACGCTCTACTCCAATCTAGTCTGTGCGGAGCGTTTGCACCGCATTATGATTGCACAAACTGTAAACGTGGTGCGCCTACAAGCGCTATAGAACTTTAACGGCTTACCGAACGACGAGTAATAACGAAGTAAACGCCAAGTCGTCGCAAGCTGCGCTTGAAATGAAGCTAAAACAAACAAAAAATGGAAATGGAAAAAAAAACCTGTCTAAATTGCTTACAGCGGACGCGAGCAAATAAGAAGCGAGCAATGTAAGGGAAAACATGCTAGAGTGTCTGTAGACATGTGTCTGTGTGTGTATGTGTGTGTGATTTCAACACCCACTCATAGCCAAACACACACAGCCGCGCATCACTCAAATCGCTTGCAATGAGCTTGGGTAACTCCCACTTTTCGTTAAGCCACGCTTTGCAGTTGAATGGTGAGCGCGCCGTACAACGCTGGGCTTGCGTTCCCTATGCCTGCTGCGATGTTACGGAGTCAAGTTACGTTACGTAGGCGTAATGTAAATTTAAAACTCTCTCTCAAAACACGCAAACAAACACACAAATACAGCTATATATGCACACATACGCAGTGGCACACTTGAGCATTCAGGGCTTACATTGTGTTTGTATTTTTCTAGCCGCTGATTGGCTAATATTCGGAGTGAGAGAGAAACTGGTTATCGTGCCTCATTATAACAGTGTTTTTGTTTTTCATTGAAATTTCAGATTCTAAAGCTTTTTTATTCGTTGTTTTTGCTTTTATTTAATTTTTTTTTTCAGTTTTTGTTTTTTTTTTTTTTTTGCTTTTTGTTGCTGTTTAATTACGCCGTCTTTTGAACACTTTTTATTTTTATTATTATTATTGTTTTTTTTTTTTTATCTATGCTTCTTTCTAACTGCGCCTAAGCCTGCTCGTTTGGCGCGCTTCGGTTTGCCTAATTAACATAAAAGGCGTGTTGTTTTTTTATTGGTTTATTAATATTATTGTTGTTGTTGGAAGCAAGTTTGTGAATTATATAAAGTTTTCAGTGCCTAAAGGCGGAAAATCATCATCAATAAATGAATAAATTAAAACAATATGGCGCTGTGCGTATATATGGCTCAAGTTCTGCAAAAAGAGACGTAACTCGAAGTTTTTGAATTTTGAGCTAATCTTGGAAATGTATGCATTCTTAAGATTACAACTCATAAATGACTTCAAATCAAGTAGTTAAGGCTACGTACGACCGTGCAGAAGATCATGGGTTCAACTTGTAGCCTGACTAACATCCACAATTATAGAAATCTAACGGTAACTCGATATAGTTCGCTGCACCAACGTATACAATCAACACATTATAGGCGGTATTTGTTGGAAAATCTCAATGTGGTAACCTCAAGCAATTGGTGTCATTTTTGAATTTTCGACATCAAAGTTTTCACAGCTTCAGCTTCGAATTTGCAGTCTTTTCACCTGAATGCGCCATGTAAGTCTTCTTAATTTCCTTAGTTTTATAACTTCAGTATAGCATTTTAGGTAATTTTTAAATTTAAATTCATTAAAATTGTTGAAGAGGTGGCAACGCTTCCAAAAAAAAAATGTCTTTTCAATGAAGAGATTTAAATTTCTTTTTCCTAAAACTCATAATACTCTATGTTATGCTTTAAAATTTAAGTCTGAGAACAGCTGGCAAAGCTGCCAAAGTATTTTCTCATTAAACCATTCCTTATTAGCTGCAGTTTGATGCCCATATTGTAATATTTCATATATTTCATTGGCAACTCTGCTAAATTGCTAATCTACGTCATTCTTCAGCCCACTTGAGCACATACATATAACTTTTCATCAAAAATATTTTAGACATTTAAATGAGATCAGCCACAACTATAGAAGATTTTGTTGTATAAGCAATTTCAGAAAGGTGGCAACTCTGCTGAATTGTAGATTAATTTGTTATCGAATTCCCCGGAAAAGTTTCAGCGTTTGGCGATCAAACAAAAGCCGAGAATATTTGTAAGTAACACGGAAACATATGTATGTATATGTAAGAAGATTGTAGGTGCCACACCCCCTTTGAAATCTAATTCTTTTTCTTTGCTCGCGTAGACCAGTCGATCATAGCCGAATCAACAACAACAAGTCATTCACTCCTTCTTTCCGCTGTTTAGCGAATTGGCAATTTTAAGGCCACCCTTGCCCTTCTTCAACTGGTCTTCTCTAACAAAGTAGAGGTCTTTTGCTTCTTTTATTTCTATAGGCGAGTACAAAATCGTAAACTTTTAAAGGTGGACATAAGACTTAGGCTACGCAGCCGCTGTTTCTTCATTCGCTGACCTGACGACATTGACTTCGCATATCTCGTACAGCTCATTCTTCCATCAGCTGCGGTATTCGTCATTGCCGATACGCCTTAGACTTTCATTTTTATGCAAAATCTTCTGATAGATGTTGTCATTATTCATACCTTCGCACCGTTTAGGAGAAGGGAAATTTGAGCGACTTGTTGGGTCTGGTTTTGGTTCGTCATGAGGAGAGAACCTTAGATTTTTTAGAGTCAAGATGCGCATGCGTTAGATAAAAAATGGATCGGAGAAGTCATTATCGTATTGTTGACGGCTGCTTAAAAATCCATGAAGAGGTAATGTTTTTCGCTCCTATTTTTCTGGGGGATGAATATCTGATAAATAGTTGGTTAAACACGCTGGTAAGGTCAGGTAAGCTTGTTGACGGCAAACTTTAGTTTTTCACAAAATACGCACAGACTGTGGACATGCTCTCATCCAACCAACTGTGAAAGGAAGCCAATGCAGGCACCTGATCAGTTCATTGCCGCCGTCCTTTAACAGCTCGGCCGGCAATCCATCGGCCTTTGCATCTAACTTACCTCTTCGGCTCTCGGTATCTACCCCACTCCGCACATGCTGTGGCCGAATGCAAATCTATGAAATTTAGAGCCTGTTTCCTCTCCACGGCAATTTGGCAATCATCTACGAATCAGTCTTTTGACTTTAACAAAATCCATACTTTGTGTTTTCTCTGCCTACTCTAGCGTTAAAGTCACCAAGCGCCTGGTAGTTCATGAAATACATGCTTGATCAAAAAGCTCCTTTTCTCTCGTCGAGGCTTGAGTGCAAATAAGCGATGTGTTAAACAAAAATTTCTTGATGCCGCTTGTAGCGAGACGTTCATTCACCCGGGTGCCAAAGCAGGCGAGACCAAATTGGTGCTCCTTCATATGATCGCAGTGGTAGATGTCTTAAGTATCTCTTCGTAGCCGCCCTTGTACCGTGCACTCCACTTTTTGGACATACCTTAAGAAGACATCATCTAGCTGGGCAGCGACACCCTCCAGATTAAGAGAACGGTTCTGCCAGGTGCAGCTAGTCTCTACGTAGCGGCTCTCAAACTCCGCGCACAACCTCGTTAGGCGAGTAGGCTTAAATTTAGCACACATTTATATAGCGAGCGGCTTGCTTCAAGACCGACGTCTGCTCTCAAACGGACCTCTGGTGAGCAGACGCTGCAATTAGACTTCAGCGAACCCTTTAAGCTTTTCCCCTTTATCCGTGGCCCAAGGCTCCACATGGGTTGCTCACGTCCTCAAAAAGCGCAACGTGGATGCCTTGATAGAAGTCGAATATAGCACGGTGACTGTAAATGCATACCCAGACACTTGACTACCACCATTACGCCCCATCGTATTTTTTATTTTTCATAATTTTTAATTTTTTGATATTTTCTTGTTTTTGGCAAAACTTCCTGAATTTCCCACATATATTCACATTTTGTATATATTTTTCGTTTTGGAGATTCGTTTTTTAGATTTTAATTGGCTTTTTTCAAGCAGAAAACTTTGCTTTAAACCGAGCGCCAGCCGAATATGCAAACGATCATACAAACGATCGACATAATAAACACTTGTCTACCTACCCACTGTGCCGCTGACATTTGCGAATCACCATAAAAATATATATATGTATATATAAGCATTTTATTTCTTAAAGCGCTGCGCTCAATGAAACCATTTTGCATACTAAAGGGTGATTTTTTAAGAGCTATCGGATAGTTTAAAAAAAAAACACATTAAATGGTCCATCCGCCAAGTCGAATTTTGGCATACTCTTGACGACATTTCGGCTGGTATCTCACGCATAAATGCTTCAATGTTGTTCTCCAATGCGTCGATTAAAGCGGACTTGCCTGTGTTGACAGTAGATTTAGTATAGATCTACTAAAATAGTCTAAAGGCATTAAATCACATGAACTGGACGGTCAATTGACCGGTCCCGAACGTGATATGAAATGTTCACCAAACTCGTCTCTCAATAAGTCCATTGTGAGGCGTGCCGTGTGGCATGTGGCACTGTCTTGTTGAGACCACATATCATGCAAGTCCAGCTCTTTCATTTTGGGCAAAAAAAAATTTGATATCATCTCACGGTAGCGCTCACTATTCACAGTTACGTTACGATTCGCATCATCTTTAAAGAAGTGCGGTGCAATGATGCCACCAGCCCATAAACCGCACCCAACTGTGACCTTTTCTGGATGCATTGGTATCACTTGTAATGCTTCTGGCTGTTCTTCACTCCAAAATCGACAATTCTGCTTATTTACGCACCAATTAAGCCAAAAATGAGCTTCCGCGCTGAATACAATTTTTTTTTGGTGAATTTTCTTAACAGAACACGCATTTTGTAAATAAAATTCAATAATTTACAAGTGTTGTTCGTTTGTAAGACGATTCATGGTTAATTATAGACCAAACTGAAGATGTTTGACAGCGATACAAAACACGAAGCGTGCGTCAGCTGTTTAAACCAGTGTTGCTTAAAAGATAAGAGCTAAAAAAGTCACCCTTTAAAAAGTTTATTTATTTCTACCATTTTATAAATAATACACTTAATTGATCTTATTTTAGCTTAGTGGTGTCATTAAATCAGGCATTTACAAGATAAACCAAGTAGTAAAAGCAAATAATAAAAATGATAGGAATCCATTAAAGTCAAGCAGCAAAAACAGCGCAGGCACTAAATATACATAAAATCGATATCTGGCATGAATTTCGTGCGCAGCTGTGCGAACAAATCGTATTACTTTCGAACCGTCGAACATAAATAAATATGAGCGTTTAGATAAAAATTCGCATTTATGTC